AATATGCATGCAATGAATTCATAGACACGTTCTGTATATTTTTGACATAGTTAAATGCATTCATTACGTTTTTTAAAGTAGATACTGACTTAAGAAATACTGGCATCAATATAGCTGGGTGCTTGAGGGAAACACCATCTTGCTGTAAGTTAAAATGTGTGAGGATTGTACATGTGATTGTAGATACGCTGTGCATAAAAGTTAACTCATGATGCTCGTAAAATAATTTCGTTAAACTCGATATGATCCACCTAATTACCACGGATTTGATCCCACATGACACTGTCTATTTCCATGAAACGTTTAGCCGCCTGACGAGAGTATCGCACAAACAACGAACGCCTTAACCTCAGTGACGATCCAAAAAGATTTGTGCAAAAACTACACTCGTGAACTGACTGATGCATGCGGGAAACAAGCCCACGACTCCTAAGAGCCAGGCAAACATCTTGACCACTTCACCTTACTAGAAGCTGGCTTTGAATCGAATCCGCATTGGCGAATTAAAAAGCGCTTCACTTTTCTCCACCACAGCTTTCATTGCACATAGGTTAGTTGTGTATCCTTTACAGGACGTTGCGAACCAACCCCAACAGTCCCTGGCTGTCGTGTGGTTTTTCTAGGCAAATTTACGTCCAGTAGTTTGCCATTGCCACTGGACGGTCGGCTTTCTTGATACCACTGTCGAAACCAACGCTAGGCGCATGGCCCGCAGCTGGGATCGAACCTGGCATTCCGGCATTACGAAGCTTTCGCATCGACTTAGCCACAGAGCCGACCTTTTCACAAATACTCCTTTTAGTGATGATACAAGAATAATCTCAGCGCAATGTACGACTTGTTAGTTAACAGCTACCCAGGGATTTTGTAAGTACAGAAAGGCACACACAGGAGACATTGTTTCACCCATTTTCTGAGAAGTTAGACATAAGGTCAGCTAACCCAGGATTGATGAAAAGGGAAGGAGATAGAAAGGAATATCTCGTTGTTTTGTTGCTGTTTTGGTTGTTGTTGTTGTTGTTTTTATTGTTGTTTTTGTTGTTCTTCTTGTTTTGGTGATCATTTAAGCAGTCCTCGCAGTGAATCAGCCAAGACTTTCCTACCAACTGCATATCTTTATGCTACTACAGCAACACTAATAATAATAATAAATATAATAATAATAATAATAATAATAATAATAATAATAATAATAACAACAATAACAACATTGAAATAATAAGTTATCTTGTTCCTCGTGTGCATTTTTTGTTGAAATGAATTTTTAATAATATATTTAAAGCAAGCTATGACATACTGACAGCTTATCTCAAACAACGGAATGGCAGTGGATGTTTTTTGTTTTTTTGTTTTTTTGTTACCACACTATGAAACTGCTACTACTGCTATATTTACTACTTTTGTTGTGTAAAAAAAGGGGGGGGGAGGGGGGTGGGGGTTTCAGAGCCTGAGGATTTAGGGCAGCGTTGCTAGTGCTGCCACTACGGCTGTGTCTTTTAGGGTTTTATTTTTGCCCCTGACAGAGAAAAAAAAATTGCTCACCCTACCTGAGGATTTTAACCAGGTTCTCCCGCGTAAGAGTTCTGCGTGCTTAACCGCTCATTGCCACACTTTGAAAAGAGAAAATCTGAAAACAAACAAGTTACGGCAACCAAAAGATGTTTTAGAAAAAAAAGTATCAAACGAAGACAATATCAGAAGATTCTAGAAAACCGAGGTGCGGCAGTGTCAACACATCACATGGCCTGACTAATGCTGTCAGAGATGGCACGATGCAGACAAGCAGGACTGCCCATGTCAGTCGACAAGACAGTTGATGATTATGATTAATAACAGTATTAATAATTGTATCACATCCTACCTTGTTCTTCTTTTACATTGTATGGTCAGTGTGTTTAGATTGTTCAATAGTTGTAGTGGCAATATCAGTAGTTTTAAGAACAGGAAAGTTTTTTTTAAATAGTGGTAATACGTAAAGGTATATCATTTCGGCGCCTTTGTTTACGTTTCTAGGATTTGATCCTGGTCGATTCGCATCCGAATAGGACTCTTTAGTTATTGGATGGTAATAGACAGATATCCCAAGAAGGTCTGTGGTTAAGCACCAGCAAGGAAATCAAAGTCAAAATTTCGAGAATATGCTTCTTCCCTGTCAGTCATCTCACAGTCAAGAATGGGGTCATGAACAAAATAGGGGCTTTGACCTGAAATGCTACAGAAAGATTCTCAGATCACTATGAACAATGAAGAAAAGAAATACTAACATAATGAAAGATCTGAACATCAAGACTTGATAGTAAACAGCATCCCCTGTCTCAGAAGGTAATATTTTTGGGGATATCAAGCGTAACAGCGGATTTGAAATAACTAGCATGGAACCAAGAAGAGTGGCAGCTATCGACCAGCACGAAGATGGACAGATACATTATATATAATGATACCTTGGGTAGGATAGTGCACGAGACAATGGAGCTTCTTTTAGCCAGACAGTGAGGAGAGCGACGTTTTGCAGTGCACCTGCAACATGATGATGATGATTCTACATTTAAGCATATTGATGAATCAATTGGCACTTAAAGCTCGGCCAGTACTAGAGCCCTAGTTAAGTAAGAAACAGTTCAGTTTCAGGAAGGTAAAAGGCTGTGCAAATGCAACCTTTTCTTTAAGGCAGATATGCGAGAAGTTTATTCAATCTGATTAAGTCGACGCGAACGCTTCGTAATGCCGGGATGCCGGGTTCGATCCCAGCTGCGGGCTATGCGCTTTGTGTTGGTTTCGACAGTGGTATCAAGAAAGCCGAACGTCCATTAAGCAATGGCAAACTACTGGATTTAAATTTGCCTAGAAAAACATTACAACAGCCAGGGGCTGTTAGGGTTGGTTCTGCAACGTCCTGTAAAGGATACGCAACTAACTTTTTATTTAGTCTGATAGAAGTTAACACCTTAAATTTATAGATCAAGAGAAGGCGTTCGATCCAGTCAAAGGATGCAAAGTATGAAAATTCTAGAAGATTATGGTATTCAAGATAATCTTTTGTGTAACATCATGTCTCTTTAACAAGATAGTCAGTGCACAGTAAGAACAACCAAAGGAATAACATATTTGTTTGCCATCCCATCATGTGTCAGACAGGGATGTGTCCTCTCACAATTTCTGTTCATTACTTACAAGGATAGAATAACACAGGAGGCAAATACAGACACTTAAGAAATCAACGAACTTCTTTTTGAAGGCGATCAATATCTAATACACCATCAAAAACAGAATTTACAACACCATACCGACTCCTTACATCAAGCCTGCACAAAGTACGATGTGAGAATAAAAACCGTGAAAACTGAGGTGATGAGGATAGGCAGGTCACATAATATTATGAACGTTCATGTTGAAGGTAGTACAATCAAACAAGTACAAGAATTCAAATATCTAGAAGCATATTTAAGAAGGATGGCAAACTCGATAGAGAGGTAGAAGCCAGAGTACAGAAGGCAAATGCTGTCACCTACCAGTTAGCCCCAC